AGAGCTGACAGAAGACTATGAGCAAATGTGCAACTATTGGAACATATTTATTTGTTTATTTGTTTTAAAATCTTATTTAAAGGTTTATTTATTTATGCCTAGAAGAACTGGGGTACAGACTAGAGTTGTGGGGGTGGGTGGTGGGTGAAAGGATTCATCAGAGACAGAGTGGGGAGTGGAACAGGCAGATGTATTGAAACACACTGCTGAGGGAGCAGCAGGCAGGTCAGGTGAGGTCTGCTGTGCCATGTGGGTCACCTCCCTGGCCAGGGATTGAACTCTTGCTGTAGTGGCTGTGGTAGCTTCACAGTGCTGTGCTTTAACCTATTGCACCAGCAGGGAGGCTTCTGCACCTAAACATCTTTGAGTGATAGCTTTGCTCACTTATATTTGCAGGCTTGGTCTGTAGAAGTAGGATGGTTCTGTTTCTTTAAATATCTTGTACATACTGCTCAATTGCCTTCCAGAAAGGTTCCACCCACTTTTACCTCACCAACAACATCCATTTCCACACACTTTCATAAATGAGGATTTTTTTTTTCATTGTTGCCAGTCTGGTAGGATAACCAAGGTGGTGAAGTGTGCTCATAAATGCAGGTGAGGGAACAGAAGATAAACAGCAGTGGGAGGCACTAGTGATGTCAGACTGGAAGCAGCACCTGTGAGCATCAAGCACCAGATGTTGGAGATAAGATGAATCTCAGAGAGGCCCTGGGCGCCCAAACCGGTGGAAAGTCAATGTGGTGGTGAAGAGAGAGGTGACATCAACATGTTGTCACCAGCCTGTGTGCTCATCTGTCTCAAGACTCTCACATGTAACTGAACGACATGTGATCCCTTTATTGCACATGCCAGGGAGGGGAGCAGACACACCCTGAGTATGGCCTAACCCAATGGTCAGCTATATCTTGCAACAGTGGAAATACATTTCACTAAAATACCTAACATGCTTGGCTGAAAGTTGTAAAATTTCTGCGAATTTTGAAATCTAGAGAAAAGAGCAAAATTTGAGGGCAGTGTAATCCTCATTATTCTAGCTCTTTTTATGGGTATAAAGTTGTACCTTTAAAAATGTGGAATTTTAGGGCCCTCCCTGGTGGCGCAGCGAGTTAAAGCACAGCACTGAGAAGCTAAAGCCACTTCCTCATGAGTTCGATTCCTGCCTGCCCTGGAGGTGACCACATGGCGCGGCAGACCTCTCCTGACCCGCCCGCTGCTCCCCTCAGGAGTGTACTTTGTTGACTGCCTGTTCTGCTCCCCACTCTGTCTCTGGTGAAGCCTCTCACCGCCCCTGAGTCTCTGGCCTGTACCCCAACTCTGTATGCACAAATAAATAAATCTTTTAAAAAAATGTGGAATTTTATTTCCTCATGAGATGATCATGTACTTAAATTTGTAGCAGACCTTGGATATACAGTGTGGGCCTTGTTTTTTTTTTTTAAGGTTGCATTATTTATGCATAAAACTGGAGTGTAGGTGAGAGGTATGTGTGTGTGTGTGTGTGTGGGAGGCGTGAGAAGATTCACCAGAGACAGAGTGGAGGTAGAACAGGAAGAACCACTGAAATATACTGCTGAGGGGAGCAGCAGGCGAGACAGGAGAGATCTGCTGTGCCATGTGGGTCACCTCCCTGGTTGGGGATTGAACTTGTGCTATAGTGGCTACAGGTAGCTTCATAGAGCTGTGCTTCAAGCCCTTGTGCCAACAGGTAGGCCTCATCTAATACCTGTGCAATGTGATATCATTCAGCCATGAAGAAGACTGAAAGATGGACAAATGCTACATATTTAGGATTAAACAGCTGGTTTCAGTATTTGTGGATGAAGGCTTTCCCTAAGTGGTAGAAGTCAGACACAAAAGACCACATTGGACAGGATTCCACTTACATGAAGTATTCAGAGTAGGTAAACCTATATAGATTAGGAGCTTTCGGGGACTGAAGGAAGAGAGGGATGAGCGGCCTCATCCCTGCACAAGTAAAAGTTCTGGGATGGATTGTGGTGACCTTTGCACAACAGTCTAAATGTGATTATTACCAACAACTTGTCCACTTAAAATCTTTAGAATGGAAAGTTTCACATTATGTGTATTTTACCATAATTAAAAAAATACATAATTTGAGGCTTAGAGAATTTAAGTGATTTATCTAAGGGTACTGTACAGCTCATATGTGGTAGAGCAGTGTTTTAATCTGAGTCACTTGATTCCACTGCTCAAGCTTTTGAAAAATTATTGTGAAATACCTTCTTTTGGATCATTCACAAGATTTATTTATATTTTTTTGTGCTAAAAATATATTTAGGATTAAGCAGCTGGTCTCAGTTTAGATGATTCTCAATTTTGTTGGCAACATCCAAAGCATCCTAGTCAGAGTCAGTTGAAGATAATATATCTTTTTCTCTCCCTCAAGTCTGATCAGGGTGTTGACTTTGGCCACCTCAAGGTCATAGAGCTTCACAGCCTGTGTGATCCGGTGCGCATGGGTCTTGACATCCACGAGAAACACAAGAGTGTTGCTGTCTTCTGTCTTCTTCACGCAGACTCAGTGCTCATGGGAACTTGACAATGGCATAGTGGTCAAGCTTGCTTCTCCTGGGGGTGCTCATCTAAGGATATTTGGGGTGTCTTTGGAACCACAGTGTATTAAGCCTCCAGAAGGTGGGTAATGTGTGCATCTTTTTGTGTGTGTGGCCCTGCACACCTGCAGCACTGTTTTCTTGGCCTTCAAAACTTTTACTTGTCTTTTTGAGGGACAGTGCCATCTTGGCAAACAGCCATTTAGAAAGTTTAGATACATTAGACTATACTGAAAATGTCATTAGCCTTGGATACCATTTTTTAAGTACACACTGGTGACAAACACTATCCTACTTTGTCATAACATGACATTAAATTTAACATTGTTGTTAAGTAAGTGTGTGTGTATTAGTAAAATATGCGTACCATAAAATTTACCGTTTTCACCATTTTTAAGTGTTCCACTCAGTGGCATTAAATGCATTATATGGTGCAACCATCACCACCATCCACTTCTAGAACATTTCATCCCTGAAAACTCTGGATCCATTAAATAGTAATTTCCATTTCCCCTCCTCTTAGCTCCTGGCAACCACTATTCTACAGCTCCTGACACCAGACTCAGGACTGTTGACTGGCTGCAAAGGAAAATGAGGTGTGGCCATTCCCCAGGTCTGTCTAGCAGAAAAGCCTATGCTTCTATCTCTAGTGGCCTTGCTGCCATGTCCATCTTCACCAATCAGAAAAACCAACTTGTAGAGTGAGAGTGTTATTGAAGTGTGCAGAGAGGAGGTTGGTGATCAGGAAGGGGAGGAAGGAGTCCGTGGGTGGAATATGCTTGAAATGGAAGGCAGGGATGAGGGGTTTCAACCGGAGGTTGGGAAGACTGCAGACAAGGAGAATTGGGGATACTGCTTGCTTTCTCTTTACAGACTGCTCTGAGTTATGCCTGGCTGCTTGTGAATATGCTTAGTCATACCATGTGAGCTCTGCTTACACTGTCTGGACTTTACATCACTGTGGAAGTGAAGGGGCTTCAAGGACATACTTAGGAGAGCAGTTTTATTGGGGGAGGCAGGTAACAAGGTGGTTAGTGGGTACAAACGCCTCCATCAAGACACTGGGCTACAAAGGGGAGGGGAGAAACAATATGGTAGTTGAGAATTTAGGATCAAGCAAATGTGTTATCCATTTTATTTAAAAAAGATGTAGATTTATTTTTATTGTTTATGCATACAGAGTTGGGGTATAGGCCAGAGGGGTGGGGGCAGTGAGAGGATTCACCAGAGACAGAGTGGGGAGCAGAACAGGCGGATTTCCTGGAATACACTGCTGAGGGGAGCAACAGGTGAGACAGAAGAGATCTGCTGTGCCATGGGGGTCACCTCCCTGGCCCAGGATCTAACTCATGATGCAGTGGCTGGTGATAGCTTCATAGCGCTGAGACCTTAACCCCTGCATCATCAGGGAGTTCCCGCATCCATTTTTTTTTTTAACATCCAAAAGGGCAGGTTTATTATAAAAAAGGAGAGAAGAGTAAAGGACACTTGCACAGCTACCAGTGGGCAGAAAGAGCTGCCCCCAAAAGGGACAGGTTTGTGAATGTGAGGCTTTGGTCACAGGTGGGCAGGAGGCCTGCTGCTTCATACATTTCTTTCTTTTTGTTTTTAAAGATTTATTTATTTATACATATAAGAACTGGGATATAGGCCAGAGTTGTGGGGAGTGAGAAAATTCACCAGATAGAATGGGGAGCAGAACAGGCAGATCTACCAAAAGAACACTGCCGAGGGGAGGGGCAGGTGAGACAGAAGAGGTCTGCTGTGCCATGCTGGTCACCTCCGTGGCGGTGGATCAAATTCATACTGAAACAGCTGCAGCCAGCTTTCGGTGCTGTGCTTTAACCTGCTATGCCTTCAAGGAGGGCCTTTGGTGGTATTTTAGAAAGGACTAATAATTTAGTAAGAGAAGACATGGGATTGAATTCTTTTTGGAAGAGGGAGGTGGTAGGAAACTTAATTTTTATTAAGTCTATATAAATAGGGCTACAAATGCCTCCCCTGGGAGTTGTGGAAGTTCAATGGGTTTGGGTTCAGCTCAGTAATTTGGGTTGTGAGATGTTACTACCTTATGGTTATGAAATATCTTATGCTGATAGTTGATAGTCAGTGATAGAGGGAAAGGAAGAGGCATCCCAGGTAGAGTTGCCATCCGAAGACTCCAGTCCATTGCCTTGGGTGGTAGCAATAGATGAAACTAGAATCGACCCCTAGAGTCCTCTCTGGTTATGCACTGGCAATGAGGGTATGAATGGTGTGAGTATTTGGACACTAAATCATCAGCTGCCTTCTATGAATGCACAGGAAAGGTCTGGGAAACCAATGGTTATGCCAGAGGGTCCAGGGAAGAGCCATGGCTAGAAGACGATAGGGTCACTGTTCCCCCTGACGTTTGTGCCCCTTTCAGGTGGAGCCTCGGAGGGAGGACCCAGGACAATGGCTGCTACACATGATTTGGAGATGGAGGAAGTGACCCTGAATATGGACAGAGATGCGAAAGAAGAGCTGGAGGAAGAAAAGAGAATGAATGAGAACGAGGGAGGCAAAGACCCTTTGAAGAAGAAAAAGGTTCACAGGATTGTTTCAAAATGGATGCTTCCCGAAAGTGTGCGGAAAACGTACCTGGAGAGAGCCAACTGCTTCCCACCTCCTTTGTTCGTCATCTCTATCAGCGTCGCTGAGGTAACTATGTTGGGTGGTGGGCACTGATGTGACACACTGGGGGTTTAGATCAGATCTAGAGAAGAGACTGGAAAACAGGCTTCTTGCTTTTCAGACAAGGGTACAAGATCGGGAGGGGTTGGAGGGAATTGCCTGGGTTAAATATTTAGCACTTGGCACTGAATCCATGGCTGCAAGTATTCCCTTTTCCTCAGAGGAGGTCAGCCTTTGTCCTGTCATGGCCTTACTGTTTGGGATGAGGTTGACCCACAGATGGAGGGTAATCTGCTTTCCGCAAAGTCTACTGACTTACTCTCTTATCTCGTTTAAAGAACACCCTCACAGAGGGCCTTTCTTGGTGGTGCAGTGGGTAAGGACTCAGCACTGCAAGCTGACCTCAGCCGCTTCAGTGCGAGTT